GGGCCTCGCGCACGCGCACCCGGCCCCGCTCCACGTGAACGGTCGCCGCTTTGTGAGGTGGCTCCGCGGCCCAGAAACGGAGGGGGCGGGAGCTTGCGTCGGGGGGCGGTGCTAGGCCTCGCGGACACGCCCCGGGGCCCCGCCTCTGCGTCCTCGCCAACGGTCGCATTTTATGACAAGGCTCCCCTACCCGGGCTGGACAACTCGGACACGCCCCTGAAGCTGGGCCCCGCCCCCTGGCCCCGCCCGTCATTATGAGACGGCCCGCGGAGAAACCGAGTCTAGCAGCAACGAGGCCCCACCCCTATACTTGCCCTCTTCCTTCCCACTGAGAATCGCTTTGTAATGCGACCCGCGCTGGGGGGGCGGGGTCAAGGCCGAGGGACACGCCTCCAGCCCATAGCCCCACCCAGCCCTCTCCTCCTCGCGTGGAAAGACCGTTTGAGATGCTTCCAGGCCTCTTCCCCCAACTTGAACCCTGTCTGGACGCCTTCTTCCCCAGGACTCAACCGCTCTTTCTCCCTTCCCCTATCATCTCTACCTCCTTCCCCCTGGTCCCGCCGCCATCTTCGGCCTTCACTGTCTCCTCACCCCAAGAAAAAACTCTCCAACCCCTTCCCTCAAATGTCCCTTGGGCCCTCTCAGTCTCTTCCTTCCGTCAGTAACTCTCCCCTCCCCCAAATGATGGCCAATGAATCCAGCAGAGCAAGGCCAAGTGCCCCTTCCCCCTCACACACAAATCTTCCATTCCAGCCTCCTTTCCCCCCCTCCACTGTTCCAAGCCCCCATCCCCATTTGGGGGGGGCCCAAGGTGGCTTGGGGCCACTTCCCATCCTCCCCAGCTCCCACCCTTCCCCCGACCTCATTTTCTCCCTATTCTCTCCAATCCCCTCCCTTCATCATTCCACCTCCTGTATCATGCAAGGACATTAGCAGAGACCCAGTGTAGCACCCCTCCCTGCCCACAGGCCCCCTCATACCACCCTGACCACAGTTGAGGGAGAAGAATGCCTCAAACACGGTGAACAGGCACTATATCACCCACCCACCCCCACCCAGGCATCCAGTGATTGGACACCAGCAGTCCCAAGCTTGAAAAATTACACTCCAGAGAGGCCTTGGAAACACCTCAACACGTGTTATAATTAATAATTTAGGCACGCCAGCAGAGCAGAAACACAGAACATACCTCCGGGTACCCTAAGCTCCAAAAACCCAGTGCCTCAGTCAGGTGCTGGAGAGAGGGGCTTGTGGAGACTGCAGACCTCTTGTGGCCCAGTTAGGGGGCCAAAAAGTATCCCCATCTCCTTCCTTGGTGGTCCTGAGAAGCTGAGAATCCAAAGAGGGGCTTCCTGCTTTCTGTCCAGGCTGTAGGCTAATGCCTGTGCCCCTCCCGTTCCTGCTCCTCCATGAGGAAGCTCCCAAGGCCAGGGGCCCTTCATCTTGTCTACTCAATTCCCTGAGAAAACAGCAGCCAGAGCCCCCGGAAGTAGCTGGAGGGAGCGCAGACCCCGCCAGCTTGAAGGAGAGGGCTGAATGGAGGATGCACAGACATAGGGGGCCCCAATGCTCAGAGGGGGGCCCGGAAAGTGCTGAATTCAGGGGATTCAAGAGAAGATGATGTGGAGGTGGGCCTCTTCCAGGTCTGAGAGATGCTGGAGGCCGCAGTGGAGCTAGACTGAGCATCCAAGGTGGTCGAATCCTCTTCTGAAACCATTTTCTTTGTTCATGGAAGAAAAATAGGAGAGAACTGGCTGATTTCAGGTTTCACGATCTAGGGTTTCCTCATATTCTGAGCCTGAGACTCCCCAGCCCATCAGATCTCATCTCCCCCCGCCGCCCCACCCACACACAGCTTCAGGGCCCTTCTACTTGTCCATATGACCCAGGCTTCAATCTTCCTGTCTTCTTTGTTGTGTAGAGGGCCAGACAACCTGGGTTCAAATCTCAGCTCTACCACTAACTGGCTGTGTGACCTCAACCAAGTGACTTAACCCCTCTGTGTTCAGTTCCCCCTCTACAAAATGAGGAGAATGCTAATACCCATCTCTTAGGGTTGCTATAGTATCCTGGTGACACAGTGGTTATTAAGGGCTCTGCTGCTAACCAAAAGGTCAGCGGTTGGAACCCATCAGCCGCTCCACAGTAGAAAGATGTGGCAGTCTGCTTCCGTAAAGATTACAGCCTTGGAAACCCTATGGGGTATTTCTACTTTTCTACTCTGTCCTATAGGGTTGCTATGAGTTGGAATGGACTCAAGGGCACACAACAACAATAGAGTTGCTCTGAGGCTTTTAATAAAGGCATTAAATAGAGGAAGTGCCTGGCACATTATTAGCGCCCTCTGGTGGCGCAGTGGTTAAGAGCTTAGGGCTAACCAAAAGATCAGCACTTCAAATCCACCAGCCACCTCTTGGAAACCCTATGGAGCAGTTCTACTCTGTCCTGTAGGGTCGCTATGAGTCAGAATTGACTCAACGACAATAGGTTTCGTTTGGGTTTTTGGTGTTAAATGAACAAAGCTATTACTATTATCTGCTTCTCCTCTCCCTTTCCGGGCTTCCTCAAAAGTCTACCCACTCCTCTGCTTTGGAGGGTCCTGCCCCCCAGTGCCAGTCAAGGAGAGATGCACGTGCTAAACTGAAAGCCCCCTCCCCCCGCCCCAGCTGGGCGACCCTAGTAAGGCCTGTAACCGACCTCAGTGTCCTCATTTGTGAAAAGAACATTCAAGCCCATCTCACAGGGTGTAAAGCTGAACATCGGGTTCTCAGCGCAGTAACACAGTAAAAGCTCAAGACGTGACAGGTGCTTCATTGTTATTTCAACCAACCGCACAGCTAACACTTCAAAAAGACACTAGAAAAGGTCACTAGAATTTACCATTCAGGAAAAGAAGCGCTGGGCATAACAGTGTGTATAACATGCTATGGTTTGTGTAAAAAAAAAAAAAGTAGATGAGGATATATTGTTGTTTGCTGCCGTAGAGCTGACTTTGACTAAGGCAGCTTTATGTACAGCAGAACCAAACATTGCAGCCCTGCGTCATCCTCACAATCACCAGCATGTTCAAGTCCATGGATGAGGATTAGGATACAGATCAGTTATAATCACATGCCACCATGTGTCTGTCAGTTTGTTGTACTGTGGTGGCTTGCGTGTTGCTGTGATGCTGGAAGCAATGCCACTAGTATTTCAAATACCAGCAGGGTCACCCGTGGTGGACAGATTTCAGCGGAGCTTCCAAACTAAGACAGACTAGGAAGAAGCACCTGGGAGTCTATTTCTGAAAAAAACTGGCCAGTGAAAAGCTTACAAATTTGAGGCCTAAGGAGCGCCTGGCCCAAGCCATGGTGTTTTCAAACACCTCATATGCATGTGAAAGCTGGACAATGAATAAGGAAGACTGAAGAAGAATTGATGCCTTTGAATTATGGTAAAAAGAAAGTAGAGCTGCCCCACAGGGTTTCCAAGGAGCAGCTGGTAGATTCAAACCGCTGACCTTTTGGGTAGCAGCCTAGCTCCTAACAACTGTGCTACCAGGGATCCTTGAATTATGGTGTTGGTGAAGGATATTGAATATACCA